AGCTGTTTATTTCACACCTTCAGGTTGGTTTTCACTTCCTGAACCACAGCCCCGCCCCCACCGTCCCCCCCCACTCCAGCCAAAAGCACGTCCAGGCCCTGCACACACACACGCACGCACACAGGTATACACAGTCTCAGCCCCCAGCCAGGGGTCCCAGAGGAGGGTGAGGGACCCATAGCCCCGCCCCCATTGGGAGGGGGCGGGGCCTGGCCATGCAGGCCCCAGTGGCCCTGCCCCGTGACACAGGCAGGGCCAAGCTGGAACACAGCCAGTCAGGAGGGGTGCCATGCCCCCCAGGGTGGGTGGGGCATCGGGGAGAAACAGTCCTGCCTCTTTGAGGAGGAGGGGCTTGGACCATAGAGCACTGCCTCCCACAGGGCAAGTGGGAGGGGCTTATGTACATGAAGCCACACCCCTGCAGGGGCATGGTTAAGGGTGAGGGTGTGGTTAACTGTGGGGAGGGTCTCCAATACGCCTTCTCTCTTTGGGGGGGGAGGTGCTTAAGAGCCTTATCCACAGGGAGTGGGGCCAGGCAGCAGTTAGCTATGCCCCTTCAGAACCAGGATGGGCCATGTGGGCACTTAGCCACGCCCCCTGGCTGCTGTGGGAGGAGCTTGTGGGCACCTAGCCCCACCCCCATAAAGTGTGGGTCGCCCAGGCCACACCCACAATGGGAGAGGCGGGGGTGGAGCTAGGCAAGATGGAGCCCTGCCCCCTGACCTCCAAAGGGAAAGAACTTCCAGTCCTCCAAGCACTATCTGGGGGGTGGGTGGGGCCTCATGACGATCCATCAGGGGGCGGGGTTTCAAGGGGCGGGGTCCCAGGGCCTGGGGAGTGGGTGCGCAGGTGCTAGGGGAGGGCAGAAGCTCCCAGGAAGGCCTTGGCGCAGTGGGGGCAGGCGTGAGGCCGCACCCCTGAGTGGATGCGCTGGTGCTTGCGCACCCCGGCCCGGTCCAAGAAGGCCTTCCCACAGGCTGGGCAGGGGAAGGGGCGTAACCCCGGGTGCCCCTGCTGGTGGCGCCGGAGCTCCCCCACCGAGCCGAACACTTCCCCGCACTCTGCACACGCCGGTGGGCCCTGGTGCCCTGCAGCCTTGGCTGGGGGCTCTAGGCCCGGGCGTTGGCCTTCGGGGGGTGCCTCTAGGTCTTCATGGTAGCTGGCGTCAACTGGATCATCTAGGCCCGGCCGTTGGTCACTGGATGGTGCCTGTAGGTCTTGGTGGTGGTAGTTGGCATGAACTGGATCACCTAAGCCCAACTGTTGGTCATTGGGTGGTGCCTCTAGGTCTTGCTGGTAGCTAGCAGCAACTGGATCATCTAGGCCCGAGTGTTGGCTGTTGGCTGGAGCCTCTAGGTCTTGAGGGTGGTAGCTGGCATCAACTGTATCGTCTAGGCCTGACTGTTGGCTGTTGGGTGGTGCCTGTAGGTCTTGGGGGTGGTAGCTGGCATCAACTGCATCATCTAGGCCCGACCGTTGGCTGTCAGGAGGCATCTCGAGATCTTGGGGGTGGTAGTTGATGTTAACTGGATTGTCTAGGCCCGGGCGTTGGTCGCTGGGTGGCGGCACCTCTAGGCCATGGTGGTAGCTGGCCTCAACTGGATCATCTAGGCCAGGCTGTTGGTCACTGGTTGGAGCTACTAGGCTGTGGTGGTAGCCTGCGTTGACCGAGGTGCCTAGGCCGAGATGGTACTCGTTGATGTTGCTTGGTGCCTCTAGGCCCAGCCGTTGGTTGGTGGCATTGGCTGGCCCCTCCACGCCCCACGGGGG